CTGAGCCGAAGGCAGACGCTTAACGACTGAGCCACCCAGGCGCCCCAACCCCATTCTTTTTATTTTAAATGACTAGTTTATTTATACAGCTTAAATGTTTTTAAATAGTCATTACTTATTTATGGGATCAAGGGAATGACTGTATCCCAAATGCAGGATAACTTTGGTTCACTGAGGATGATGTAATGACACTGTTTTCAAGTTGAAGCTGAAAAATAAAAATCCTGGAAAGGAATCATATAGCATATAGCAACTGTTAACCATTCAGCTAGCTTCAAAAGAACTTCTTGTTGCCTTTTGTGGTGGGGGGGGGGTAGTAGATTTTTCTTTTGTAGGCAGAGAAATCTTGTTTGCTATGTTTAACTTATGGCTGCTTGCTGTTATATATTTCCTTCTGAATCTCAACAGGTTTTCTGCCTTATAGGGGTTTAAAGCTTTTATTTTCAAAAGTAAGTATGTTGATAAGGCAAACTGTAGCGTGAGCATTTAGCTCATCTCTAGAGGGTTCCTGTCATTTAAAAAAGTCATATTAGGTTGAGAAAAAACGTAATTTGATAAGTGACATCAGGAAAACTGACTAACCATTTGGGATTAAAATAGAAAACTACCTTACCTCATACAGCAAAATAAATCTGCAACTATTACTTTAAATATTAAAAGTTGAAACCATTAAACTGCTACATGAAACAATAAATATAAATTTATCTTTATGATCTTGGAGTGAGGGATAGAATATTATCTAAAGCATGATATAAAACTAAAAACCATGGAGGAAAATATGTCAAACCTGACAACACAAATAATTTTTTAATGCTACATGCAAATGTGTATCTGTATTAGAGATATATAGAAATAATGTGTGTGTGTGTGTGTGTGTGTGTGTGTGTCAGAAAACACCAGCATATGATGAGCAAAGGGGTTAATATCCCTACTATAGGAAAGAGAAAACTGGTACAAATCGATAACAGAAAAATAGTCCAGTGCAAAAAGGATAAAAGATGTCACCACGAAATTTACAACAAGCAAATAAACATATGAGAAATTCAACTTCATTGATAACTTTTCATGTATTGGAATGGTACAACTTAAGAGAAATAAGCAAGTAAAGATACAATTACCATCAAAAGCTTAAAAACAAAAGGTAGAGACATATCTAAGAAGGAGCAATATCCATAATGTATGAAGAACTTTCTAGTTCTGAGAAAAGTCAGACAAGCCAGTATAAAAATGGGCCAAGAAGAGGGACTTTAATATTCTTCACTGAATAAATGAATAGCAAAAGAAGATCAACAAGCCTATCGATCTTAAAAAGCATAAACAACTCTAACATATGAATGCTATGTAAAATTGTTCAAGCATTAAAAAGAATTATGAGAACTGTTTCTGATAGGCCCAGTGGGAACCTAAATCCACCAAGTGATTATCTCCCTGGCATTTTTAACATACACACTCAGCAAGTCCAGCTTTCATCCTTACTCCCTGAGTCAAGGCTCTTATAGGGAAGAAGTAATCAGAAGGCCCTAGGGGCTCTGCAGTCTAACAAGAGTAAACCAAAAGCAGCATCCTGTGGAAATGCTCAGAAATGCTACCACAAGCTGAGAGTGGGAATGCCTCTCCTATTCTCATTTAACTGGCCCACCTGGAGATGCAAATAGTCAAGATAGCTTAGTAGAAGTTTATTCAGATGGTAACTCCAATTGCAATGATCTCCAAAACGTGATCTGTTTCTAGAACAGACCTTCACAATCTCTGGCATCTTGTATTTATCTGCTGATTTGGTAAACACTTTCTGCCCTACTTAAAAATAGAGAACATGGGAAGGGGTCACATTCAGTTGGGTGGGACAGTAGTGAGACTTCATAGTCTTATCTCAGGGTTATCCACACTCTTTGCCTCTGTACTCCAATTTCGTTTTCAAAGATACTGATCATCTCCTCCTAGAGAACACTACAATGGTCCAGTACACGGCTTACATTTGCTTTTAGGACCTGAAAAGCAAGAAGTGACCAGATATATACTCTTAGGTGCCTAGGAAGGATGTTAAGTTTGCCAGCAGGCAGAAGATAAATTCCATGAAAACAGAGGGCCCTGTCTCCCTGTATGGACTGTTAATCTGTACGGACTATTGACATACCTCAGCAAAGTAAATGACAAACCGCTTTCTCCACAGTCTCAAATACAAATGGTGAGACTTTTTATGCTGCTCCCATTTTACTGAATGCCCCGAAAGGTTGCCTGCTCTGCTTTAACTCCTCAAAAGAAAAGGCCATCCAGCTAGCTAGCTCAAGTGGTGGCACAAGCAGCTCTACACTTGGTTTTACTGACTCAGCTGATCTAATGGCAACAGAAGTGCCCGTGTTATATCAGGATACTCTATAAAACAAGTTGCAGGTCCCAATAGGAACAAAGAGAGGTGTCCTTTAGAATCCTGAAGCAAGATCATGCTCTCTTGGCAGCCAATGTTATCCTTCTGAGGAATAGTTCTAGTCTTGCTACTGAGCCCTGTATAAAAAGGAAACAATGGTGTACCATGTAACCAAGTGACTTGAGTTGCCTACTAGCTGGATTAGGTGTTATATTATCCTGGTGGTATATCTCTTTCTGTATTTTGTTCCATGTATGTCAGTCAGCCTGTCCCTTGCCCCAACTCCTACAGTACTTGTTCAATAATAGTAAACTAGCTATGGGGTAGAAATAAAAGCCACATACAGGCTCACCAACATGGATTTTCCCTTAATTGAGACTATCAGGGTTATTGGCAATGCCATGTACCAATCTGTAGCAAAAGCAACCAAAAGTAAATATGTGATATGATACCATTCTTGGGAGTATTAGCCAGCCACCCAGTGACAAGATAATTGTGCTTCTTCAATCCTGAATGAGGCAGAATTTCATGTTCACTGAAAGAGTGATTATGCATTTTGTTGTGCTTCCTCTACTCCCTTCCCCCATGCTTCTACCAGCTTCCTAATCCATGCATTAGTCACAATCATGGTACTCCACACATCAGTTTCTGATGAAGACACCCACTTTACAGAGAAAAAAAAATGGACAGATCTTCCAAAGACAATGGAGTTCACTGGTTTGCAGTACTCCATTACCTAGAAGCTGCTGGACTTTCTAGAAATTCTGTTTACTGGCCCATTTTAGACTCAATTACGGTGTCACTTGGGAGACAGTATCCCAGGAAAGGTAAAGCTCTATCCTGCAGGAGGATCTTTATGCTCTCAAAGAACAACCACTCCAGGTTGCTGTTTTACTCAGAACCAGGAAGAAAACTTGGATTTGGGAACTAAGTGGTGAAAGTGAAAAGAAACATTTCACGTTTACACCTAATTATCCATTTGCAAATTTTCTTTCATGCCTGAAGGCTAATTTAGAGACACTAGTCAAGTGAGGGCTACAACCATGTAGCAGAGGTTCCATGGAGCCATTTGGAGCCAGGATAGTATAGTCTCCACAGAGGTAACTGCTAAAGGGATGTGAGTGTGCCCACGCCCAGTGAGAAGGAGGAGAGGAAACGTGTCCCTGGAGATCAGCCGGGGAGAACTTGCCAATGCTGCCATCTTTAATCATGGAGCACTGAGGCAGGAGCAACAAGGACCCAGGTCTGAGAGTCCAGGTTACTCCAAACAGACAAGGTGTAGAATGCAGGCAAAGGGACATGGAATGGCTACCAAAGGAGAGGGAATCATTAACATGAAGCCCAGCCGTGTTTCCGGGGGCACAGTGGCAACTGTAGCATGTCCAGTGTTTTCTTCCTTATTCTGCAATGTCCCTGTTTAGGGGTTTTAACTACCCGTCTCTGCCGCTGCCCACATCCTCCACTGCTCTACACAGGGTGTGTGGTGGGGGCTACGCGTGCTCTCTGGTCCACAGGCTAAGGAGTACTGTGATCCAATCTTGCTGGAACAGAGGAATGGACTGGAAATCACCCTCAAGACTTGGTGCTGGATGCAAGAACTGTACAGACCTTGGTTTCCCCTTTTGTGGAAATGGGAGAAGAATTCTGGTGGTTTGAGACAGTAGCACAATGTTAGGCAGCAGAATTTCTTTTAAAAAAGCTAACATACCAAAAAAAAAAAAAAAGAACTATGTTCACTGTAGGAAAGGGATGAACTATACGGGTATTTATTTTTGGCCACCTAATACCTAGAATTCTTAATTACATCCAGATATTCTTGGTTATGATATCATGACCACTGAGAAGGATCATCACAGATCCAGTCTTAGGAGGAAAAAAACCTGGTTGTTAAAGCAACACAACTGTTCTAAGAGGCTCTGCATTTTTGCTTACCTCCACTAGGAGTAATTACAGATGATGAACAATAAGAGGCCTAGTAGCAATCACAAAGAGAAAGGGAGACTCTTTAAACAAGCTAGTTGTAAACAAAAGCTAGATTTAGTTAGTGCTATTTAGATTGTATAGATGCTGAAATTCCTCACAAATGAAATACTTTAGCTGATGACCTTCTCACTCTGAAACAATTCTTTTGATAACACAGTACTTATAGAATATTTATTAGGAATGCTCCCATTATGTTATTGCCTAATAGAATGCATTTAATTGAGTAGTAGATGCTTTTCATGAATGCTTTTTCATGAAACTATAAGTAAAATAAGGCTTCCTCTATTTACCCTAAAAAAAAAAGGGAAGGAAAGCACAGCACATATACTCAAAGAAGAAGCAGGAGCATTAAGTGCTATAAAAATGCTTCACATAAGGAGCTATAATATAATACATATAATATTGGAACTAATAATATAATATAATATAATATAATATAATATAATATAATATAATATAATACTGGAGGGCAATCCAAAAAGCCTAAATGGAGATGGTATTTGTAATGGTTTCAAGGCATAAGAAACAGGACACTTCAGCTTGGCGATTCAAATCTCTAATACCATATTAGCATATAAATTGAAATAATTAAATTACTTGTCTCCTGACTTCAAAGTAAACTCTTTATAAAAGCAAAAACTAGTCTTATTCATTTTTGTATCTCTAGAACCCACCACGTGGTTGACACTCAATGGATATTTTAAAAGCTGAACCACAAAAGGGCATTAGAAAGATCAAACCTTATGTAAGACAGGATATGTATTTCTAAAATAAAAGGCACATATAAGAACAGCGTTAAGAAAGGTAAGTATGCTCAACTATTCATTCCTTCAGATTTACTGAGCATCCACTATGTATCCGGCACTGCGGGAGAGGTTTTGTACATCAACACTGATTCAACTGTGTTCCTTTAACTTCTATAGCTCTAAACTTGGGGCCTATGAAAACATAAATCTGAAATTACTGAATCAAGTTTAGAAGAAATATTATATGGCATTCATTTGATCCTATTTCATAAACAAAAAATTTGAGAACCAAACAGAATAACTGACCTCTCCAAGAAATCAGTTACTTAGTAGAAGAGCCAGGGTTAAAAATGTAGATTTCTGAGTTTTCAAACCAGTATTTTTCAGTGTACTATAAGGGCTAAAAGTAACAGACTATTTATTTATTTTAAATATTTTATTTATTCATTTGAGGGAGAGAGCAAGACAGAGAGAGCACAAGCAGGGGGACAGGCAGAGGCAGAGGGAGAATGATGCATGCGAGGCTCAATCCCAGGACCCCGGGATCATGACCTAAGCCGAAGGCAGACGCTTAACCATCTGAGCCACCCAAGCGCCCCAGGAACAGACTTTTTAAAGGATTATTTCATAATCTAGGTGTATGTTTGCCAAAGCAAATAAGAACCAAATAAGTGTATGCTAACTTGGAATAAAGAATTGAGCTGTAAGTTTCATGGCCCACCCTGGATCACAAGGACCCTTGAGCCTGGCTGAAACTGATCAGGATATAAATGCCTGTCCTTTCTTCAGATCTTATGAACTAGCAAGATTCCAGAGACATCATTTTACATGACTGGTGTTACCCTTTTACAACAGGGTCAGCAAATTATGGCCTGTCTTGTATAGAGCCTCCCAGCTAAAAATGGTTGCTACATTTTTAAATAATTAAGAAAAAAAAAAACCAACAACAACAAAAAACAATATGCAAGAGACCAGATGTGACCACAAAGCCTAAAATATTTACTATTTGGCCCTTTACAGAAAAAGTTGGCCAACCCCTGTCCTAAATTAGTAAAAATTACTAAAACTTTGTATTCACAAACTCTGACTCAGTGTTACTTCAGAGTATTAAGTACTCACTATGTTACTAAGCCTATGTGGTACATATTTAACAATGTTGCAAATTTTTCACCAACCAGGCATGTATACTGAATTGAATTTCTAATTTTCACAAAGAATACAGAATTAGTACATCACAGGTGCTGGCTTGATAGGTTATTTCAACTGCTGCTCTTTTCACCTTAATTTAGAAACAAAATTATAGTTACCCTGTCTATTGGCTGAACATTTTTGTAGAGTAACTGCTGTATTGCTACCCCTCTATTATTTTATTACTCTGCAGTTTTTCATGACTTCCTAGTTCTTTTTCTTCTGGCAGATAACAACAGTAAGATAGTGGTCCATAAGATCTTTTGCCATACCCAAGTTGACCATGTTAAAAAATGCTGAGGAAAGATGAGCTTACAGAAAGGGAGACAAAATAAAGTTTCTAGGTAGATGACAAGCAGGTTGGTGATGTGAAAAAACTGATAAGCATTCCTAGTTTCTCCCAAGTCAGGTTCTTTATGGCTTCACTGCATTATCAAGTCTGGGGTATTGTAAATTTATAGGATAGTCATATTCAATTCTAATTGGCATATGCCTAACTTTTAAAGAAGAAAAAAACTCATGAAACGTGAAAATTACGGAACAAATTCTTTACATAACCATAAACAGTGTCTTGAAGAAAAATTCACCTAATACATGGAGGTAGGATTAAATCCAGTGAACAAATACAATGAACAAATTATTTTTACATTACCTGCAATTTTTAACTATTTGCACCATTATACTTCTAGAGAGGTGACTTTAAAGAATACATCACATTTTTCATAACATAAAGAGAACACTATTTCCTACACACCCAAAATGGTGCATTATTATTTTCTCAAAAACAAAGTCGTCCCCTTCTGGCTCTTACCTTCAGTAACGAAGACCCATTCTATTCCACATGGTTCTGCTGCCATCTAGTGGATTCCTTAAGGGAAAAAGGCTTCACGGCAAAGAATATATATATATTTTTTTGCCATAAAATCGTAGGTAGGCAGCAGTCGGTACAGGGACTATGTAATGTTCCAACCTGTCAGAGTTCACTGGGGTTATGCGGAGGATGCTATCTGACCAGTGAGAGCGGCCAGCATTCAGGGGCACCTGGACCAGCCCTACCAGGCACACAGAGCCTTCAAAGAATTACCTCCAAAACACAGAACAAAATACAGCTATCTTCTAAACACTAAACACCTCTGTTGCTCAACCCAAAAAATACCTCAGAATTGTAATAACCAATCACAGAAGACAAAATAATAGTTAGGAAAGCCCTCGGGCAGGTGATTTTGAGACTCTGACTCAGTGTCAGCCACATCACACAGCAGAAGAACTATAATGCTGACCAGTAAGCAGCCTTGGAACCACACAGCCTGACTTGGAAACCTGACCTCACTTCTTCCTAGCTGCTGACCTTTGGCAATTTACCTAATCTCTCCAAACTCTAACTGCCTCAATAGTCAAATGGAGAGAAAATCCCCTCTTTCTCAGTTATGAATTTCAACTGAGAACAATGTATGTAAACACCTTGTACTAGATATTGTAAGAAAGAGCTCAATAAATGGGGGCTAATGGTGTGAACTGGTTTATGTCTTTCTCCTGAAAGTCAGAAATAAACAATAAGAATAATCTTTTCTGGGGCGCCTGGGTAGCTCAGTCATTAAGCATCTGCCTTCAGCTCAGGTCATGATCCCAGGGTTCTGGGATCGAGCCCCGCTTCTCCCACTCCCCCTGCTTGTGTTCCTGCTCTTGCTATCTCTCTCTGTGCCAAATAAATACATAAAATCTT